GCTTAAAATGCAGAACCCCTTAAAGAGGTGGGAAAAAAAAAAATCAGTTCTCACCCACTGTTCTGAAAAATGGATCCTGTTCTCTTCCCGTGGCACTGGCTGATGCTTGTTTCAGTTACTCAGCATGATGCTGTAATGGAAGAACTGTTTAGACTGAAGCTCCATCTGCTTATCAGCGAGAGGCTGCAAGCCTGATGCCACACTCCACTGCGTCTACTGGTGTGGGGAGAAGGCTCTGCAATGGTGTGTGGGAGGAGCAAGAGTGATGGCGAGGAAAGTAATGTGAGGTAGAGCCCTCTCGGTGATGTTCTGGTTGGCAGAGCGGAGTAGCAGCCCCTCTGAGCAGGTGTGGAGTGAATCAGCGGCTGCAATCAGACTGAGTTTGTGTGGAGGTGAGGTAAGATAAGAGAGAGTTAAATGGGATGAGATAAGATCTGGTATTACCTGAAGATAAAGAGAGTTTAGCAAGACACATATGCATATATGGGATATAGCAATGCAAGACCTATGACTTTTACTGAAATTCGAGTAAGATGAGACCACATTAAGGGATCAAAGCTGACTGATATGGGACCTGGAGAGAGAATAGCCTCTCAGAGACAGTGAAGGTCCAGCAAGGTTCCATGGGAAAATAAGGAACATCAAGGTGTGAAGGAGGAAGACCGAGTGTGCCAGTCAGCTCTGCTGAGTCTGGAAGAACAAAGACAGCTTTGGAGCAAAGGGAGTGGATGAAGAGCAGTGAGCAGGGGAAAAGCATCCCTGGCAGGTGGGGTTCACCATGTACCCTCTGTGTGCAAAGGATGTGCACAGCTGCAGAGGAAAGGGATAGGAGCAATACAAACATGTGACATAGGTTTATTTGGGCCTTCCAACATTTTTGGGAGTGAAAGGCTTTGCACATGGACCAAATAGCCATGGCTCTGAAATGTGTCTTCACAGGTACCAGGGAGGAAAGGAAAACTGAGTTTCAGCTGTAAAAGATGGCAACTGGAGGAGCTGGATGCTTTTAGAGAGCCTCACAACTCAGAGATTAAATTTGTCCTTACAAAGGACCCAAAACTGCAAGCAACGAGTACCTTATAACAACCTTTGTGGATGTTCTTGAGATGCAAGTTCTTAATGCTGTAATTCCTGTGTAACAAATCTAACTCAGGCTGGGAGATTTTTTTTTTCTGATTTTCTATATTTGAAGTGTGAGAAAAAAATATTTTAATCTTTGTTTACAAGCAATGCTGTAAACTAAAATTTAAATTTAAATTCTACAAAGTTAAGACATCACCATTTTTGCAGAATTTTTCTGCTGCTACCCTATTCATCTTTATTTCACAGTAGTGTATTTGGCAGCAAAGATAAAACTTGCACAGTCTTCATACTCCTTGTCTTGTCTCCACCAATTTCATGGCACTGTCATAGGCACTACTATCCTGTGTGTCACTTCACCTCATTCAGTGCTTTCCACTCTGCAGATAACAACTGGTCTCCACTGGGATTGATTTACATATTAAACATTAATTGTTTTTCTGTCCTTAGTTATGCAACATCACTGTGCCTGGCCAGCTGCAAGATGTGGTAAAAACTTCAGTGCTTGGGCCTGGCGTGTTTCTGCTTCTGGTGTCAGCCCTCCCGGGTAGAGGCAGAACAGTATCTCCCAAACCTGTCAAATCTATCACTCTTCTAGTTCAAATGTTGACAGGCCTTGGTAAAGCACACTTTAAACAGATCTGTTCTCTGTCACTGCCATGACAGTAATACATGAATCCACAATCACAATGATTTTAGAAACAGACAGACAACATGAACTATAAAAGCCTGATCCTGTTAGAGCTTTCTTGGATGAGTATTTTAAAGGGAATATTTTTGTGCTAACATTTTTGAGAGTATTGCATGTCTCTGATCCTGAATCTCTTGTTTCTTTTTGATATCTTGATCCCATACCTTGACTCTTCAAATATTCTTCATTTTTTTTGTGGCTACCTCAATCTATTTGCTAGGTATTTTCAAAGCCTTTTACTGAAGGTGTTGCCATCTTGTGTCTAGATATCCAATAATGTGGTCAATCACTACTCCCACTGAGCTGAATGCCAAAGTCACAACAGATGTTGTTTGAAAGAGGGAGGCATTTATTATCTCACTGGACATTGAACCATATTTCCTGTAAGAAGAATCAGATGGTAGAAGAAGCCCTTAAATGCTAATAACATCCCATAACAAAATTGGGCTAGATTAGTGATGCCAACAATATCTGTGAGCATGGATAGCCAATTGCATGTGGAATTTCTGATTTGACTGTGTAGTAATGCATTTGAAGTTAAGTCAAAAAAATAAGATGTTTTAAACCCTCTGCTCCATTGTACACTTCTCCTTGTAGACACAATCAAGTGTTCTGTACTGTTTTTTGATACAGGCTCCTGAATATTTCTAGTGGAGATACTTTTAACACATGTTGCAAAATGAAATTTCTGACTCCTGAATGCCCAAAGGAAATAAGTTTCTATTTGGGTCAGGAAGATTTGTTTTGCCACCCACCATCTCATGAGCTGAGTCTTTACCAACTGGGCCTTAGTGATCTACTAGGTAATACCTAACTAGGTAAGGTAGGTTAGTAAATACTAATATTTCTCTTTAACAGAGGTGATATTAAAGCTTCATGGGTAGGAACAATGTGTCATTATGATTAAGCAATGTTTTCTAAATTTTCACAGTTCTGTGAACTGTGAACTGTTTCTGATGTTGTTGAGGACTTGTTACCTTGAATTGATGTGTTCAGTATGGGCACCCTAATGGTCAGATTTAATTTTCTCACTTTTCTGAAAGAGTTTTTTAAAGTTTGAATATTAAGAGCACAATGCTTCAAGTACTGAGATAGTTTTGCTGTGAGAATAATATGTTCAGAGGACCATTGTTTCGAAAAAAGTTGTGGATTTGTCTAAAAGTTCAAAGATCCTTTAAATTGCTATCTTTTGCATTTAGCGATTTTTTTGTGTGACTGACTAGGCACCAAGTTTGAAATTCATCCTAGCCATAGCAATGGGCAGGCTAATGTCCAAATTGAAATATTTGAAATGCATTGTTAATAGCATTACAATTGTTACCAAAATGTTAGTTGATCCCATGTATCTATTGCATCTCAGGCTATGTGCAGAGGTTGCACACTTCTCTCTTCATGTATAATGCTCACTTTTCACAAACAAGATTAAAAGAGGAATAGAGGAGCATTTCTTTGCCATTTTCTCCAAATTACCTTAAAATTTTAGGTATTTGGAATATAATTACCGAAAGAGTATCAGTAACATTTAAGTTTCTAGTGGGTAAACAAATCTGGCTGTTCCATAATGTTCAGGTGCATAGCTCTTATGAGATGAAGGAATAAGTAAATTGTCAGTTCCTTTGGTACCATAATGTCTCCCTAATGCAACTGTGGAACAATATTAGACAGGTTTCCCAACACCTCCCAGAAGGGTGGATAAAATACAGTTTCTCTGTGTTTTAATATGATCTCTTTTTCCTGTGGCACCAGTAGCCTATATGCAGTGTTTTCACCCCTTTACAGGCTGATAATGAGTGAATGTTCATGTGGTCTGTTGCACAACACTAAGCTCTTATTTCACTGTCTGCAGTTATGTTCAGTAAGTACAATATGAACATCATCTCAATTAACAGAGTACCTTCAGGGCTTTTCTTAGCCAACTATTCTAGCACGCTTGTCCATACTGTCATCAGCACCTAATCAACTAATGATGGCTGAAAATGAGGAAGGCCAATCCCAATAAATCCAAAGGATAGTAATTTTTCTCTTTTAATGCCCTTCTCCCTCCTTCTTCCTTCTTCCTACGGCACATTGCAGTAAATTAATGTCATAGTGGTTATTACAGTAGCGCTGCTATGGCAAGTATTCAAGCAATGGTCCTCGAATATTTTACCTCAGCATTTATTTGTCCATAAAATAAAATAGGATTTATTGCAGTACTCTCTGGTTTGAGGACTGCATGGACAGCAGCTGTGAAAACTCCTTATCTCCACTGCAGGTAAAGATATAAGAGATGTTTCACTGAAGCTAAAGAGAAACAAGGAATGTGAAAGTCAGTCAACTACACAACCACAGTGTCAAAAAATTGGTAAAATAAATAAATATAAGCATAAAAAAAAAAAAACTTCTTTGTACCTAGTAAGAACTCTAAGAAAAATCATTCAGTAATTTTGTCCTTTAAAGGTCTCAGTAAATTAAAAGCGTATTCATTGCTTTGATGATTTCTGTATCCAAATCAGATATAGGATTTTGAGACTGAAAGATGGAAAGATAAATGTGAGGAATTATTGTTGCAAGCCCTATTCAGACAGAGCATAAGAAAAGGAATTACAAACAGGAAAAAAATATCTCAGTCAATATAATTTTATGGTGGTTTATTGTTAGTGTTGTTCACTTAAAAAATAGATGGGTTTGACTACTTAAAAGGCTCCACCTTAAAGGAAAAAAAAGCTCCCCGATTATAAAACATAGGTTCTGAAGCCAGCCCTGTGGAGATGCGACTGCTAGCTTAGAGATATTCATATTTTCAGCTGCATGTAAATTTCTGTGTGTCATTAACATCTCTGAGCTCTGTAATTAGGTCTCTTCTGATCTGGTTATAGTTTCTGTACATTATGAGTATGTAAGCCTCTCCAGGGAAGCACAAGGCCAGCCTTACAGGGTTTCGCCTTTCTGTTCCACAATTTTGCTCTTATCTTTAGCAAGTACATCCTAGCAACTGCTCGCTTCGAGGTTACAGCGAGATCCCAGGGAAGGCTATAAAGCATTATCAGTCTTTGCCAGTACAAGTCTCTACCACTACACCAAGACTAGAGCACCTCCTTCCTCCATAGACTCCCTACTTTTCCCTTCCTGGCACTCCTTGGTTTAAATATATTCTTTTAGATTTTTTTTTTTTTTATTCCCCAAATTGCTCTCCAATTTCCAGTTATAGTTATGATCTTATTTTTGTTGGTTTTTGTTTTGGTTTTTTTTTTTTCTTTTGGGTAAGAGAAAAAGATTGTCCTACAATGTGAAATGTGTATCCAAAACTCTAGCTGTGTTTGAAAGAATGTTCCTTCTGAATAAATAATGTCTCAGGAAATGAAATATAACATATAAACTAAACTGTTTGTCTTTGTGTTCTGCTTCTCACTGGGAAGCACCAAAGAGTTCAAGTACAAAGAGAAAAGTGGTTTATTAAAGGGTGCTTGCATTTGGATTATTTTGTTCTGAAAGCCTTGTCTTGTAGCATTATATCCAGGAAATGCTGCTCTCAATATAAGGAAGTGCTCATTCCATGGGCCTGAATCTTTTTGGATTTTTCTTGAATGGGGTTTCTGCTTAGGTATAACAAAATATTGGATAATGAAGATAGAAAACCAATAAAGAGTAAAAAGAATATACAAAATTGCTTAGAATGAATTCTGCATGTAATTACTTGCATTTTTGCTAACTACTGTATAAACAACACTTTTAATAAGGCAAATTGGAAACGTGAAGACAAATCAGCTTAGGGATAGAGCTTCAATTTATTACACAATGATAACTGAAAACTTTGTTTCTGCTGCGTTGCAGTCAATTTCTACTGAGCTCACACTCTGAATGTGTGATTAATCATATGAGCACTGGGGTTGCCAATAAATACCAAAACCTTAAAACTATAACAACTTGCTCATTTTGTGCGGTCATTCCAAATAGCTAAACAACCAGAAATTGTCAATGTACACCAAGATCAATGCTCTGGGGTCTCTACATAAGATTGATTTCCCTCTCTGAGGATTTTATCTCTCTCATCAACAAAAACATTTTGTCCTCCCTAAATAATCCAATCGAATGCCATCCTCCTGTGGAACAGTGAGAGGTTTAAATTGTTTGGATTAATCTCTGCTTTGAGGTGGCCTGGAAAGTCTCTGTAACTTCGTCAAATATAGCCTGGAGGGAGAACTGCTGTGGTTTGATATGTGCTAAAAATAAACAAATAATGAGAGTGTCTAAAAATCATGTTGTGCTTTAAAAATAATATGTGTGTGACAAAATATTTTTTAAAGCTCTTGCTACCAATACAGAAAATAATAATTGTTGTTGTATTCCTTCTTGCTAAGGCCTACCACCTTCTCTCTGCTGGAGATGGGGAAGGAGATTGGGAGCTGTAGGAACAGATTTAGGGGACAGAAGCCCACAGAGATCTTCCCCAGAAGATGAGTGGAGCAGATCAGAGACAGGACGAAAGGAGCTGTCACCACCCACAGCCTTCTCCCTGCTCTGCACAGTGAATGCACAGATGAGGTTTAATAGAATTCAGATTCTGATTCTCTGTGTCTCCTTCAGAAGACACTTTTGTATATTAGCAGTTGAGAAAGACCAAGCAGAAATATGGTTTCAAAGGAACCTTTGCAGCCAGTAGGACAGGCTGCAGGCAGCAGCATGGGAAAGACCCCCTTAGCATGGATGTCTGCTTTCCATGGTTTTCTTGTCCATTATGCAAACAGCCTTTCTGTGATCTGCATAACACTATAAGGTGGATGAATGGAGGTTTTGTGGTCTTTATCCAACACGTTCTGGAAGGAAGATAGAGCACAGACCCAGGTTCCTAATTAATTCTGTGTTTGCTATGATTGGGATGCAGAGAGACAATCACTTTGTATCCCCAACAAGTGCTTGTGGTATTGCATTGTTTCTTTGTTTGTACTTTAGGTGCTTTTGGAAGTGTTGGCCAGCAGCTCTCCATGACTGACACTCCACAGCAGAACACAAGGGTCAAACTTTGCCTAAGCAGGTGACAGAGCAGGTGGATTGCATTTGGAGGCTGCAGACTGCACACCTGAGCCAGGTTGGGAAACACTCGTTCTTGGAATTTTGTGTAGAGATTTCCAGAACAGGGGTGGGTCTGTGATGTCCTTCTTAGGCTTTTAGGGCTGTGGTGAACAACTGGTGTTTAAATCTTGGTGTGAAGGTAGCAAAATGATGGCCACATAGGCTGAGCATGTCTTGTTTCCATCTTGGACTGGTATTAGCTCAGAAATGTTAAAAGAAATGTGCTGAACGAGTCTCTCAAAGGGAAATTATTTTTAGTCAGGTTATGGATGCAGTTAGTTTATCTTAGTCTCAAATACCAAAATGGTAAACTGGTTTTGAAGGAATTGAATATTTATTTAGAAATAGGCCAAGAACAGATTGCTCTGGAATTTCTAAATACCCTCAGAGTATCTGTGGTTTGAGCTTTGCTGTGCTCCAAATGTAAACTTATTTTTACTCTTCTGTTGCAAAAAAATCCCCTTTGTAAAGCTGTAAAACAAATCTTACAAATGTCATTGTACATACCAGTGTACATTCAATTTGAAGACAAAAATATTTTCAGTAAGATGAAGCATACATTTCTCCTTTGTAAACATTTGAAAGGTAGAAAATGCTATGAAGGTAATGACTGAAGGAAGAAAATATCACTTCATTCCATTGAAACCTAAAAATAAATTTGAAGGGATATGCCTACTACTATGAGGAGTACATATGGATTTCTTGCTGACATTAGTCTCCAAATTGAATGTCAGACTCACCAGGAGTGAGGGGGGAGACAGGGGTGTGCATAGAGGGGAGGCCAGGAGACTAAATTTAGTATTAGAAGGGCAAGATGAAACATCATGATTATCATTAGGAAAACCTCCCAACTATATTTGTACATTGTCTTGGGGCAAATACGAGTGTCACATATTAACAAAAGGCAAAAATACCACACCATGCTGTTGTGCCCTGAGGGCCCTCTCTGCTTAACAAGAAGGTGTTGTAGAGTGCACATGCACTCCAGAAATTTATGATTTCCTTGAAAGGCAGACATAAGTATTTTCAAGTCTCTCACATACAAAAGAATAAAATGAAGTATTAGCGATGAATGTTGGTAGATGACAGTGTCTGAAAGTTCACTCATAGTTTTTTTCAAGTAGATATGTAACAACAGGTGAATATGTAATGCACTAAGATTCCATGCTTTATAAACAAAGGAATACGTAAATATCCTATATCTATTTTGGTGTTGTTTTTAAATTAAGTTAGAGAGTAAGGAAGACACTTGACAGGCACTCAGATAAATGTATTCACCTGGAGGCCACTGGAAAAATTTAAAAACTTCCTAAGTTTGCATCAGAATGGCTAGAAAATGGCTAGAAACATCTGCCAAATTGCCAGAGGGTGCTGGGTGCAAAACCACTTCACCCTGTTGCATCTCAGTCTTGAGCTCCTAACAGAAGAACAGTACAAGCTAATAAGTAATTTCTTTTCCCTTTGGGGAAGGTAAGCATCTGACAAGCCTCAGAAAGTGGCATAAATGTAAGCCTAAAGATGGGCATTGGTGTTTTCATTTTGCCGGACACAGATCAGAGGCTGTTCCCCGTGGCAGGATCCTGCCTTGCCAAGCAAACCCATTTGCTGGCCATGCCCTGCCCACAGGGCTGGGAGCAAAGGGTCCACACTGCCATGCTGCAGAAATGGGTGAAGGAAAATCAAACCTGTGTGAGGCAGAAATAGTCTGGGAGTAACTTGATAGGTCACTAAATTTCAAAGGAGCCATGCAATAAAACTTGCAAAGTAACAAAGTTTAAACTAACATATGAGTAAATTTATATATCACTCTATATACAAATATTCACATATAAATGTCCATGTAAGTAGCTTTATGCATTTATTAGAAATTAAGTAAGATCTAATTGCACAAGAATTTTGGGAAGTATCTGAAAATTTTTTTGTTATAGCTTATAAAATGAAAAAAATATAGAAAATTTGTTTTTGCGGTACTTGGAAATTGACAAGAAAGAAACTGAAAAATCATATTGACAGCACTGAAAAGCCTAGAAACATTTATATAATATAAACCACAATTTGAGACTACAAATTCTCATAGAACCCATGCAAGAGATGGGTTTTTGCATGCACACCACATATGTGAGTGGTTAGAGGGTCAGGATCTAAGAACCAAGTGTTTGGCTTTATTTTTTAATAAATCATGTGAAAAAAAAATATTTGAGGAAATAAATTTGCAGAATACGAGTTCAGGAATGCTAATTACTAAGAGTTCCCTTATGTACTCCAATGTGTTAAAAGATGAATATTCTGTAGTTTATTAAGTTTATGATCAGTCATGTCCAAAGAGGAACAGCTATTGTGGAAAGGAAGAAAGAGACTCAGTACTGAGCCTTTTATTTTGATTCCTTAGGAGCTAAACCTGTCCTTGAAGTCATCCACAGAGCCCAAAACAAGGCACGTTCTGGGAAGGGCAGGGCTCCACACCCTGTGTTTATGGCTGTAGGAGCCAGGTTTGGGCTGGAGCATTCTCAGTGGATGCTGGCACTGTGGAAAGGGCAGAGCAGAGTTTGCATGTCCCCCTCAGAGGAGCTCCTGAGCTCAGAACCACCTGTAAGCCACATTGTGAAGGCTCTGGCCACCAGCTCTCATGGAATGGTGTGTGTGTGCCAGGCCCTGAGCACGGCCCCCTCACTCAGAGGCTTTTAGCACCTGCCTAAGGGCCCAGGCCATGTCCTCACACAGGGAGCAGCTCCAGGCCTCACCCCCAGTTACCCTTTGGCTGCTCTTCCTTCAAGGACAGACTTCTCTTTTGCCTCTCTTCAAGGACAGACTTCTCCTTTGCCTCTCCTCCTTCAAGGACAGACTTCTCCTTTGCCTCTCCTCCTTCAAGGACAGACTTCTCCTTTGCCTCCCTTCAAGGACAGACTTCTCCTTTGCCTCTCTTCAAGGACAGACTTCTCCTTTGCCTCTCTTCCTTCAAGGACAGGCTTCTCCTTTGCCTCTCTTCAAGGACAGACTTCTCCTTTGCCTCTCTTCCTTCAAGGACAGACTTCTCCTTTGCCTCTCCTCCTTCAAGGACAGACTTCTCCTTTGCCTTCCTTCAAGGACAGACTTCTCCTTTGCCTCTCCTTCAAGGACAGACTTCTCCTTTGCCTCTCTTCCTTCAAGGACAGACTTCTCCTTTGCCTCTCTTCAAGGACAGACTTCTCCTTTGTCTTCCTTCAAGGACAGACTTCTTTGACTCTCCTCCTTCAAGGGCAAACTTTTCCTTTGCCTTTTCTCCTTCAAGGACAGATTTTTTTCCTTTTGCCTTTCTTCCCTCAAGGCAGACTTTTCCTTTGGCCGTGTCTCCTTAGCCCTACTGAGTATCTGTGTGGCTGCCTTTCCTCAAGCTGGAACAAAGGCCTGTCTCAGTCTGTCCATAAAGGAGTGATCCAAGGTCACAGGGAATCTCCCAGAAAGTAATGGAAATCCCAATGTTTGAGCCAATATTGAGAAGTGCTTTTTTTCAGTCTCTTCCATTCTGTAAGTAGTTCAGTGAATTTGAGAACGAGCAAAGGATATTTGACTAATCTCTTATGTAAGTATGTCCTTAGACCCCCTCATTATGCTCTTGCAGTTAGTGCACTGTTTTTAAGCAAGGAATTTGGCTTTCTCTTCCAGAGGTTACTCTCCCTTTTGGAGCATCATTTAAGTCTTCCTGCTCATTGTGGCTAAGCTGAGCAGATAAATGCATAAGCTTATGTCCCAAGCAGTGTCTGCTTTATGACCATACTGCTTTTATGACATTTATCCATAATGTTATTCTGTTTGTTTTCCTGTATGGAAAATGGCAGAGAGAGGCCTTTATCCCACATTTGCCCATGTGGGCTGCATAAGCCACACTATGATTTTATTATTTCAGTAACATTGCCAAGTGCTATAAACAGCCAAAACATTTTGTGTGTGAATTTTTTTTCAGGACATCAGACTTGAGGTGACTGGTTTTGGTTTTTTTCCCCCTATTCATGACAATTCTTTAAATGGTTAATGGTTCAAGCCTTGAAAATACAAATCCTGTCTGGGGAATGCTGTGATTTTTCTCTGTCTCAGGTTGATAATACAGAGATTTGCATCTAAGATAGGGATGTTTCACTTCTCATGCCTTTCTGTACCTTCAAGCATGTTCAGGCTATGTGGTAAATCCATTGAAGTTATGGAAACATAGTAAGACTTTAAATTAAGGTGATCTGTATAAATATTTTATTATTTATACAGCATTCAATATCATGCTTGTAAAAAAAGAACTTGGGAGTATGTATTGAAACAGCAGACAAACTATTTGAACAATACTTACATCTTAAAATATTGTTGTAACAGCTTATCACCTTGCTGTGGCAGCATTTTAAGCATTTATTGATGATGCATTTTATAACATGCCTTACAATAAGTTATTAAAGGATGTAGTGGCACCAACTAATCATTTCATAAACATGAATAAACCATTTATACGGGGCACCTTAATTTAAAGTGCTTGTAGGAACTTGCATAAAATGTTTTGAACAGCTGACATGCAGTATTGGTGCTTCACATAGTGCCAAAGTGGTGTCATGTCCTGGTTTGCAAGAATCTTATGTGGAACTGGAGCTTTATTGCTTCCAGTGATGGAGCTGGGAACTGCACAGTAATTCCAAACACAAAATGTTGTAAATCTCTTCTGAAAGAGTGTATGAGGAAGTGCATAAGCAATATCCAGGAGATTCTGGTGACAAATAATGTAGAAGCATGTTATTGCTCATTCTATATTTAAGGAAAAAAATCTATTTGCTTTTAGCAATAATACAACCTGTGTGTAAAAAAATGCTGTTCAGAGGTAGGGTATATATTTAAATCCTTGTCAAGCAATTAAAAAACCCTGCATGATGATCAAAATTCAGTCAGCAAATAAATTATCTTTACATAGATCAAAGAAAAATATCTATGCCATCAAAATAGAACTCTGAGACATGTAGAAGGTGACTGTTGAGGACAAAATTTGTACACTAATACTAAAATAAT